ATCTCCTATTCAAGCCCTTCTATAACATGTATAAATGACATATACTGAATGCATCCTTGTCCGATAACTCACTAAGTGAATCTGTGGATGTTTAAACACAATAATAACATTGTCTAATTTAATCGAGACATTCCTCGGGACCATAGGAAAGGAATGGGAATGGAAGGTGATGTCCTATGTTGAAGCAGGAAAATAATCACAAAACTAGAAGCCGGTGATAAGACAAAATTCTTTCTTCCCGAAAGATAACTCATAACCTCCAATCTACAAAACTATTTCCTCTACTTGGATTCGGGGGTCGGTGAAAAATTCATGGAAAAAGACATAATGTAGAAGAAAAGGATCCATATCCACATTAGGAATGTCTAACCACCTCCTAAAACATGTGTTCCAGAATATAGTCTTGCATTCGGGTCTGTCTCTGAATGCCACAAGACTTTGCCCACCGATTTATGGTTTACAAGAGAGTGTAATATATGCATCAAAAACCCTTTTGTGTTGTACAAATAAAAAAGGTGTTATCACATTGGTTCGAAATGAAAATGACCAATATTCTAGAGCAGTTATGGACCAATTCCTCATGTTCCAGATGAGTTACTCATGTTCCGGAACAGTTCCTCGCATTCCGGAGGCTTTCGGAATGAATTTTTAAAATCTAGAACACTACATTTCGATATAAATTAACAGTACCCAAACATCTAAACTACTATTTAGTTGGTCCTACAACAATGATATCTTTAATTTAAACTCCATAACATTTTCATTTCATTCCGAAGTTGTTCTACGTATTTGTAACAATAATTGTCGATGAATAGGCACCTTATACAAACAAGCAAATTAAGGTAAAGAGAAAGAGAAGAACATACCCATAAATAACAAGGATATAGTGCTCTTCTTCTGTAACATTCCATTTAATATAGACTAATTAAATAATAAACCCGGAACAACGAGAAGTGATTATTATTATTATTTTATATTATTATAGCCCAAAATCAAATAATAAGTAGCGGGGTGTTGGTTTCGGGAAGCCAAATGGCATGATTTAGAGTTTCGAGGGTTAAAGTGTGATTTTGGGACTTATATTGAATAGATTTTGGGGGCTAAGGGACTAAATGGTAATTTATGGACTTTATTTGAGAAGAATGAGAGGAGGAGGGACTGCAAAACATTATTATGGAGGAAGTTCTATTTTTGGACGGGGGTATATAATCCCGTCACCCTCTGAAACCCTAACCCTAAACCTAACTTCTCTTGCAGCCGCCACTTCCCACAAGTAACCTTCCATTCACCACATCCCTTCTCATCTTTCCGATCAGCTAAGGCCACTAGGAGAACCGCCATCGATCTCTATTCTTCCCTACATTAGGATAGCTCAAGATCGTCGTGAAGAAGTGGGCAACGAGTGTCACTGTTCCTTTGACAGCCGGTATTAGTCGACACCTCACCACCATGTTGTTTTGTCATCTTGCACATCACCTTCCCATTGCTGGTGATGACTAGGACCACAAGTTGGCGGACATTCTTTATGTCGGCACTACTGTTGCACTCGAAAGGAACCGCAACACCATGTCTTTTCTCCATCTCGTTCTGTTATCGCGCCTTTGCTATCGTTATTGCTCCAGTCATCATTTACCACCCGAAGTGGCTAAGGTAGGTGCATGATTGTGAAAGAACTCGTGTTTTGAGGGCTGTTGCTTCATCATGATGTGATTATGGGTGCTCGTTTGGCCAGAAAAACACATGAAAAACCACCAAAGCAGTCGGCCAAGGTGGCTGTCACCGATAACATTGTTGTTGCCGACCGAGTGTCGCTGCTGCCACCATTTCGTGCCATCACCACCGCCTTATGCCACCAGGTGGGTGGTTGGACTCCTTTTATGAACAGAAGACGTGTGTGGGTGTGTGTGGCTAGATGGCCAGAAATTACAAGAGGGTCACCACCACCACCGTGAGGTGGTGGCCAGCACCTCTCACCATCGCCTGCCTCCACAGAGAGGCTTTGTGTGTGTGTTATTTTATGTGTGTGTATTTGGATGTTGCTGTAAAATTGTATTATATGGCCGGAATAACCAAAGGAAACAACCTGTCGCTACCATGAGGTGGTGGTTGCCACCTCACACCGCCATTCTGCTGCCAACAGCCGCCACCATGGGTGGTTGTGTGCTTTTGTGTGTGAGGTTGTTATTTTGGGATGCTTGAATATTTTTAGCTAAAAATCATAACCACCACCACGAGATGGTGGCCGCCGTTGACCACCGCTACCCGAGGTGGTAATGGGTGGTGCCCGACTTGTTTAACCTAATGGGCCCAATGAAGCCCTAATTGACCTAAAAGCCCAACCATGTGACTAATTGGCTAGTATTTGGGTTGGAAACCCTAATTAGGGTTTGGAAAACCCTAATTAGGGTTTGGAAAACCCTAATTTTGTGAAATTATCTGGACTCGCACTAGAATTATTTACTAGACTTAAAATATTAATTAATAATCCTTTGTAATTAACTTAAGGTAATATTGGAATTAATGGATTAAGTCCTTAATGGGTTATGTAGGAACACTTAACACTAATTGTCATTTTATGTAAAAACCCTAATTTCACTTGGGCCTTGAGTTGGGCTTTGGTGATTAGGCTATTGATGGGCTATCCAAGAACAAGTAAATCGAATAAAATATTTGGATGGGCTTTAGGGTAAGGCACATATGAGGGACTTCGGCCCAATTTGGAAAACTGGTCCATAATTGGGCCTTAATTATTATGAGATATTGGACCATTGGAATGCCAAGTGTTTGGACCAGAATAGATCGTTGGGCCTTAAGGTAAGGCCCATGTGAAGGGTATGTGTGACAAAATGAAATTGTTTTTGCTTTGTAAGTCCAACAGTCAACTCAACTGAGTGTCAGACTCGTTTCTGCTATCATTTAGCCTTGTTTAGAGTCCGTTTAAAGGTTCAAAGCTTAGTAAATTCAAGGAATGAGTGATAAGAAGCGTCTGCTAAAGTTCTAAACCAAAAAACAAGCCATACACTCAATTTGAGGGAGTGTACGGCCATACACCCATGTAGGGTTGTACACCCCCTCCATAAGAGTGTTTTCATTCATTCTTGCACTTTCACCTCACGAACACTTGATTTCTCTCTCAACTATCATCTCATTTTTCATCTTGATCTTCAAAAAGTGGTAAGTTGTTCTTACATCTTTCTTGATATCCTTCCTAGTCTTATAATCATCTCTTGATTCATCCATGAAAACATCTCTTTTGACTAGATCTTCAAATCTCACCAAGAACACACACTTGTTATTGGTGATTGTGAACCCTTTTGAGCCTCTAGATCGTGGAGTACTCTTTCCTAATGCTTGAATCTTGTTAGAACACTAGATTAACACCATAAAAATGCCCAGAATTCATGAACATGAGGTGTGTACAGCCGTACACACATGTGTGGTCGTACACTCCTCAAAACTCTCTTAAAGGGCCTTTAAAGTGCAATTCCAGCTTCAAGACTTGTTGTGCAATAGTCCCACAAGCTTCCCCACCATTCAAGCCAACATTTGTATACTTTGTATCATGAGTGTACAACTTTACACTCCTCATATTGGCCTTACACTCCCCTTAGTTCAATCACATGTGATTCCAACACTTGGTCAAAGTGTTTCCTAGTCCCGTGAGGTGTTTCCTTGCATTTGGTTGCTTCTAAACACTATATTTATGTTAATATATGCAATTATATGTCATTTAGGACTCTTTAAGTCTCGGGAATTCGTTCGTGGAACTTCTCATCCTTACACACATATTCGTTTGAATCACCCACATCAGGTGAGTTCATACCCCGTAATGAATCTTTTAACTGTTTTAAATGCTTTTAAGGGGGGAATAGAAGTTGAACACAATGATAATTGTGTAAATGTTTGTTATAAACATTTTTCAAAAGATTGATTATGTCTTTTATAAGTGATCAAAACATTTCAAAAACTATTTTCAAGTTATGTTACTTTTTAGTTTAACCAAACTCCATTTTTAAAGTACAAGAATAACTTAGTAGTAAAATGAGTCTTTTCAATAACAGTTCAAGTAAAACACTAGTAAACTATAAGGGGTATAGTTTAGAGGTTCAGTTCATACTAGATATAATACACAATAACATAAGAGAACACACAATAAAGAGCAACAGGGAGGAAGATACAATACACGTTAACAGAAAGAACATACTAAGATACTATAATAGAACAAACATACTAAGATGCTATAGCATGGAGCAACTACAGGATCAAATTATTCCAATGAATCACTAACTCATTGTTCTAAACAAAAGGTGATAGTTATATTGGGTATACATGATCATATAAATTTAATGTGGAAGTCGCGTTTGGTTCCCAGAATCTTTTGACAGGGAGAGCGTATAGTATGGGAACTAGCCTTCACATTATGACCTTAATAAAACAAACATGTTTTAAGGTAATCAGTACATTAGGATGTCAATTCAAAATACAACTGCATACTAATAGTTTCCCATTACTTTCATAAAGTGACAGCCCCACTTGAAAGTTAATGCAAACTATTTCGCGTCAAGATAGTTATAAACTAGGGAAAACTTACATCTTTTCAAACAACAAACAGAATAATTGGGTCTAGTACATTCAGTAGAAAGGGACCATAATGTTAACCTTATGATTCCTAATGTATACATCAAGGGGATATATATTAATAGGATCTGACAGGTAATAGGATGTGTGCTTTCCGCTTCATTTCATGTTCCTTGTTTGGTTGTGGGCTTAGAGCGGATTCACCTAGCCTATTATCCATTCAATCTTAGGTATATATATGTTCCATATACATTAAGTCATCATAAGGTGTACCAGGTATGGGTTAGGTTATAGGACACTAATTCAATGCACATTTTCTAGTACAAAACATACTTTTCAAATAGAACATTTGGTATACAAAACTAGAAACTTACCAGTAAACGGTTTAATCCATTTTATTAAACCAGTATAATTTAAATGACCTTAGGTGGTTAATCCTATAATACCTTAGTTTATACATCAAGGTTATATATAATTAATATCCGATAGGTAGTTGGCTATGTGCCATCCGCCTTATTCTCTGTTCCTTGTTTGGTTGTGGGCTTAGGGAAGATCCAGACAATTAACTATCTGTTCAATATTAGATTATATATAGCTAGTATAAACTAAGTGATTATAGAAGGAACCACTATGGTTACCATTTTTACTAACAGAAATAAGGGTTTTCTTAAAGGATCTTTTCATCAAATATAAAGGAACTATTGCAACTAACTCCTTGAGTGCCAAGTAAATACACCAGGGTTATATACAACAATGATCTAGCAACCAATGGGATGTGTGTCCTCCGCCTCATTTCCTGTTCCTTGTTTGGTTGTGGGCTTAAGGCAGATACACACAATCGATTGTTTGTTTACTATGAGTTTTATATGACTTGTATCCATTTAGTACTTATAGAAAGGATTGTAGAGTCATTTTTACATATCTTTCATCAAAGCAGGAAATATAGGATCTTCTGGAGGGACAGGCGAAGTTTTCTAAACAAAAATTACAACTTACTACAACTTACTAAGCTTTCTACAACTTACTTACGTCACTAAAATCTTATGAACTCTCAAGCTTAATTATTGATCAACTCTTTCAAAATAACTTGTATTCTCAGGAAACTAGTAGACAGGTACTCGCACTGGGAATTCAGAAGATGGAGCAGTATAGCTCCAAGTCTTGTTTTGTTATTTACTTTATGTATTCTATGTTTTGTGAACAAACACTTTGTAAACACTTAATGAAATGTTTTTTTATTACTTTGATTACTATGATGCATGTCTTGTGATACTAAGCATGACGTCCTCCACCCCCGAACATTTCCGTCATTCCAGTTTTGGGGTGTGACAGATTGGTATCAGAGCATTGTTTATAGTGAACTAAGTATATCAACCATTAAAAGATATACAATTATAAATATAACGGGGCTTAAGTGCTTTGGATAATAATATATTTTAAAAAATAATGATAAGTAATAAAAAATATACCTACTTGCTTATACATGTACATATACTAGAACAAGTATCACAAGAAGAACAGAACAAAAGTATTTAAAGGTTGAATACTACGGTCAAACCTGGGCAGTTATGTAATTGTATATGGATCAATATAGAATAATCAACTATATTCATTTGAGATGCGACCGACATGTGCTTGGGAGTGATGTGGTGTTGCAACGGTCTTAAAACTTACCTAACTCTATACAAGGGATCTCTAGATTAGAACATGAAAGTTAGAATACTATAGGAGTATTCTATGACACTATAACACGATAACAAATT